AATACAGCATCTTAGTATGGCCAATAATAAAAGGACGCAGACTTTTACCAAGGGAGTTGAAAGCAGTCTGAGGGGTGTGCTCAACAAATATGTGCTGGCTTGATTGGACTGTTGCTTTGAATATAAACAGCATGATTCTGAGGCAAGATCCCAAATCTTACATGCTCCAATGGTGCAGGGATAGAATATAACTTGATGCCTGGCACCCAAATTTATCTTGTAAGGAGGAGAAATAGAAATGAAGAGAGAAGTTTTGGATACTGGACATTAAGCAAATTCTCTTGTAACAGCAACACTAAAGGAGAGTGTGGAGCAGGGCCATTGAGGGTAAGTGGCCAAGGAAGAAGGGGTGTGGCTTATGTGGATGGGTGGCCTGGGGAGAGTGCCAAGATTCAGATAGAAAGGCATTCAGCCCCCAGGCCTGAGTTCACCCCCTTTCCCCACTTTAAAGCCATATCAGGATGCTACTTGATATAGGCAACCAGTTTCGTTATCATCCTAACATTTGGAATTTAATATTCATATATTAAATTCATCTTGATAACTAACATAACTCCATGGCTCTCACTACAGGGTAAGTTAATATGGGGTATATACCAAGTAGGGTAATTATTAAATGTACCTTTAGGTGCCTAAATTTAGTTATTCTGGGCTTGCATATTTTGATTCTGCCTCACAACACAATTTGAAGCCGAGGGTGGCCTGACATGGAAGTGGTGTGAGCATATGTTCTCTACCCTGGATCCAGATGCCTTGAAATATAGCAGAAGTGTGTCAGAACCACTTCCATCACACAGTGCCTGTCTGCCTTGACCTTCAAACTTCATAAGAACCTTTCTGTTTCTGTACAGGTCAGTGACCTTAGAAACTAAACAGAAATTGCTACTGCATCAAGACGGTTATTCAAGGCACAATGTTAGCTGCTGTAGCACAGAGAGCAAGTTTGACCTCTCTTAAAATTGTTTCAAACCAGTAGGGAACATCACACAGATTCATCCTGTGCAAGATGCAAACAGAATTGGGTCTTCACTCAAGAGAGATACCAGAGAGAGATACCTGGGAGAGCAGGGAGAACAGCAGCAAAATGCTATGCCACTTGATATGTACTACACTTGTGCAGGCATTACATACATATTAAAATGTGAGCATAAGAAAGTTTTGCAAGGAGGGATACATCAGGAAAGAGCTATCTTCCAGATGATGTGTACTACAGCTCCATCAGGCACAGCCAGCCAGCATGGAGCTGTAGTCCAAACCATCTGAAGGGCAGCAGATTGGTGGAGGCTAGGAAAGAAGTTCCTTGGTGATATAGAACACCTAGGTGTTCTGGGGAATGGGAATCCGGAAGGTCACACACCCTCCTAAGCCACACCCATTCTCCACTGCTCAGTGGCCTTGCTTCGCACCTCCTTGTAGCTGTAGCAGCAACACTAAAGGAGGTAAATTCTGTTTTCATCTTGCACAGGATGAATCTATGTGATGTTCTCCACTGCTTTGAAGCAGCAGCTGACATGGGGAAAGGGAAGGGGGAAGGCTAGCTCAGGATTGGATGGAATTATTGAAACAATTCTAAAGCAGCCATCAAACAAGATCGAAACAACATTGAAGCAATGGAAATGTCAAAATTTGCAGGGAGGACCCTATCTTGGTAGCAGAACATGCACTTTGCTTGCAGAAGGTCTCCAGTTTTTGTTTTTTTAAGGATCCAGTAGCAAAACTGCTCGAGACTCTGGAGAGCCACACCCAGTCAACAGAATACTGAATTAGATGGAAAAGTAGTCTGGCCTAGTCTAAAACAACCCATTTTCCTATTTTCCTGTCCAGCTGTTTTGTGGAGTAATGTGTTTGTAAGGCCTCATAAGATTCAAAGGTGGTGTCCTGTTGGTGACATCAGAGAGCAAATTGCATGCCAAATTTATTGCTAATTTATACATGTGCTGTCACTTATGGCTTTGGGAGGTTACCAGGCTATCCCTCTATGTTGCTTAACCTGGCTTGTCAGTCTTCTCCTCCTGCTACCCTGGCTTCCATCTCCCTCCCTGTCAGTCTGCCTCCAGCTACTGCCAAATCTTAGAGCTGTGCAGTAAGAAATAGATACTGACACTAGTATTTCCTTTACTTTTCCTTTACCAAATAAAAGAGGGGAAGATTTCTGAAGCACTATGTGGAAACATCATAGGAAATTATCCTTGGAGAACTTTCACAGTACATGATTGTGAAGTCATTTTATAACTGTTTCACAACTGATTTAGATAACCTGTTGTGTAACCTGCTTAGCTGTGTACCAATAATTTCTTTTCCACAGCGTTTCCAAAAGCAAGGAGGAAAACATTTTTTTTAAAATCTATTTTGGAAAATTATTTTGTGACACTGGATATTTGCAACTGGAGGGGGGATCTCCCAATTGTGGAGTAAATGGCAATTAAGAATGATTAAAATAATAAAAGCAATAGAGGATTTGGCTGCAGACTTGTACAGCGTTGAATAGTATGCAGAGAGCTGGATTTCTAACCTCCTTTTAACCTACATCTGAAATAATAAGACAAAGGAAGTGAACATTAACAGTTAGTATGAAATGAGGTTAAAGGTTTGGCATTTTCAGCGTGCTGTTAGAGAGCTAACCATTTTTAATGTTGGTTGAATTAAGTATGTCAGATGTGAATGGTCAAGACTGATTGCCAGAGTTTGGCCAGGACATATTGAGGGGGAAATACAATTTGTTCTGTGTCTGTTTAGTGTAAGGAGGTAAATTTTAGAAATATATCTGATTTATATCTGTTAGCTGGTCATAAGCAAAATACTCTCCCAGGCTCAAGCACGCACATACATGCTAAACATTATATGAACAAAAATACTGCTTCCAAATGCCCTGTTTTTTGCTGAGGGAGTCCATGTTTCCTGGACCTAGCTCTGGTACACCAGCTGGGTGGGTGGCCACTCACACATTGCTACACAAGAAGAATATATATCACTAAACAAAGAGGGCAAAGGGGGATACAGACTTCCATAAAAATTTGCACATGCTAGTTTACACACACACACACACACACACACACAGACAGAGAGAGAGAGAGAGAGAGATATGCAAATTTTGAAATAATAGCAATACAATTCTCAGGCATAGTGGGGAACACTGTGACCAGGTGACATGTGTGACTGCTCAGTCTGTTGTCCCGGTGTTGACTGTTAACGGGAAACTTCAAGGTCCCTGCACTCTGGTTCTTTGCCTTTCAACTGGCCATGGATCAGACAGCCATTTAAGCAGAAGATGCTTTCAAAAAGGGTCTGTCCCCTGCAACATAGGGCATGTCACTGCCCCATTGTATTACTCTTTCTTTCTTTCTTTCTTTCTTTCTTTCTTTCTTTCTTTCTTTCTTTCTGGACTGTCTTGTTATAAATTTTGGTGTGGGCTGTTAAAGCTGTAATTATTCAGGATTCAGGGCAATTTCTAATGAAGTAGTTCTGCTAGTTATGTCACTGGAGCAGATTTTTGGAGGACAGACAGGGAGAGTAGAGGGAGGGAAAATTCCATTGCACAAATGGAAATCCTTGCACTAACAGAACTACTTTGTTGGATACAAAGTAGGATGCAAGTGGATGCATTGTCTCTAGGATCAATGTATATGCATGAGCACTAAGGCTCCAACTAGTTCACAGCCTGTCATGTCACACAATGCAGCTTTGGAGGTATATTATAAGCTGTTGATAGTCTCTTTTAGGATTTTTTTAATAGAAATGATTTAACAAAAATGTGTATCTTTGGCTTTTATATTGGTGCTTGTTACAGTGCAGATGAATACTGTTCACTTCAGCTATGTGTACTAATAAGTCAGTGGTGGATTTCAGGCACTGATCTTCGGAGCTCCTTCTTATTTTCATTTGTGAAATCTTGGAGGGTATCTGGCTTCACCATACCAATGATTGTAATGATTACTGAGATAATATGTAATGATTACTGAGATAATATGTCTGAAGTGCTTTGAGCACTTAGGGAAAGTGCTATATAAGTACTAATTAGTATTATTTACTTATTTGCATATGTTCACTTGTTTATATTTTATAGTTTGGAAAATTCAGAACCCTCTTGAGAGCAAGTCGTGGATGCTTCTTCCCTTCCAAACATCAGTGTACTCCTATGAAGGCAAACACCCCGGATGTTTTTTAACCAGGGAGGGAAGCAGTATTTTCTGTCTCCTCTATTGGGTCCAGAGATCAGAGTCACTCTCTACTTCTCTACCCAGCCACAGGCTCCTCATTCAAGCATGTAGGGGTTTGTTATAAATCTAAATCTCTCTCTGCCTATAGATAATGCATACACTTCTGCTTCAAGAACCAGTGCTTTGCAAAAGGGAATTTGACTGAAGAAAACTCTCTCCTCTGTCACTTAAAATTGCTCACTCTTCATGAGTATGTTGCAGCTTTATAGAGTGGCAGCTGCTTAGTCAACAGACAGCACTCAAATTAACCAGCAAAGCAGACACGCTCTTGAAATTGAAATGAGCTTAGGAATGGGATCACTGATGCTGTGGATAAGAGTACAGGAGGCAGGACATTGCAGAGCCATGTTGGTTTGTGCGTCATCAGGGATGCAGGGAGTCAATCAATATTTGCCAAATGGAATAGAAAACACTGGGCAGGGATGAAATGTGTCTTTTATGCGTCGCAGGGAGGAAGCAAGTGAAAGATTACAAATTCATATTGCTTAACACACTAGGTGGGATAATATAAATAAATGGCTCAGTCTGTGCACAATGCCTGATCTCTGAAGGGTACTTCCAGGTTGTGCTTCCCCTAGCAACCAGGACAGTGACTGTAACATTAAACAGAAATTTGAGGACTGTGCCTCTGGGTAGAGATACCTACTAACGCAGGACCTTTGGGGCTATGGTTACTGCTACCTAGGTTGCTCACTGCTAGTTAAGGCAGGCTGCATGTGGCTTGCAAGCTAAATTAGAGTGTTCAACATGCCTAACACATGCAGAGCCTTCTGTCCTGAAGTATTCTTAGTCCAGATCAGTTGATAGAGCATGAGACTCTTAATGTCAGGGTCATGGGTTTGAGCCCCACCCTGGGCAAAAAGATTCCTGCATTGCAGAGGGTTGGACTAGATGACACTTGTGGCCTCTTCCAACTCTACAATTCTATAGCTCTGTAATTCTGGAAACACTCACGTATAACCATTATGGTCCTGATTCTCAACTCTCCTGAAGGGTGCTGCACTTACATTCACAGAGCCTTGGTAAATCCCCGGCATGCCTGAGATCCATACAACCAAACAGCCATGCAACAACAAGTAACACTATGGATGAGAGTGATCACAAAATGCCTAATAAAAAGCTATAATTCCTTTAGACCTTATTACTTGAATGAGGGTGGTTACAACTGCCTGGTATAGTCACACAGCCGTTCTATCAGTTATTGCAAAGCTGCCAGGCTATATGTTTACTAGCTCCCATGTTTGCTAGGTTACAGCAGCTTGCATTGGCATAGGCACAAGGCACTGGTGGGGAACCTGTGGCGCATAGGGCCAGGCCTATTTAGCAGTAGCAGATGCAGTGATAAGGCACTGCTGCTCACCTGAACTGATCTCCAATTGGTCATGCTGCTGCTGCTACTGGGAGATAGAAAGTGAAGGATGAAGTGACAGGGAGGTTGACGCAGTGCAAACACCCCAGCAGGAGAGACATATCTGACTGGAAGTCATGTGAGCAGTGGCACCCCACTCCACAGTCTCATTGCTGCTGTTTGGGCCTATCAAGCCTTCCAGTTTGACCTGTGAAAATGTTTGGGGTAAACCAGCTAGGAACTTTATGTATTTAAAAACAGCTGAGTTTCTAGGGATGCTGAACTTGGAGGAGTTGCCATTTGTAACATGCACTGCATTCTGCAGTTTTTCTGGTCTTACATGGCTTACTCACTGCCCTGAGTATGAGATTTACTACATGCTATGGCACGCAAAGGTGAATCCAAGTGACTCGACTCTTTCCATTGTCCTAGACTAACAAAAATGATTCGAAGTATTGCCTTTGGTCATACTTTCCCCCGGAACAAACCTGGCCACAAGGTCTGTAGTTATCCCCCCACAAGTAAATGTTTCATCAAGTGCATCCCTTATACATATTCGTATTTTGTAAAGACTTAAATACCAAAGTCTCAAAACAGTCTTAACAAAATGTATTCAGATCTATTTTTAGCAGCTTGAACATGTTGGCTGTTACATAACATTCATTCACTATATATTCAGTAAATAGCCCCACATATGAAGGAATGATATTTTAAAGTCCATTTTGTTTCTGTCTTTCACATTTTAAAATAGGGCCTGGAAGCATTTAAGGGTAGATTTCTATAGTGGGTGCATAAAGAGTGATAACTGTTACTTGGTCTTTCTGTGCTTGGCCATTGCAAAGGCTGGTAAGCTTGCATCTCATTTTAATAGATATACATGGAAGTCACCAAGAAGAAGAACTCAGGCTTTTAGCTAGTTAGAAAACAGACTTTCTGGCTACTTAAAAGCTAGTGTCTGGCTGGACTTGTCTCTCTTTCTGCCCATTAGGGGCGGTGGCGAAGATATGTTATGATAAAGGACATTGGTTTCAACACAAGATCATGGCTTTGATACAACATAATTATTATTTTTCTTTGTAGTATACGTGGGAAATTGTGACATGATAGAAGTTTATATAATTATGCTTGGCATGGAGAAAGTGGACAGTGAAAGCTTTTATTCCTTTTTCATAACACTAGAACTTGTAGGAATCCAGTGAAGTTGAATGTTGGAAGATTCAGGAAATATAAAATAAATACTTTTTCACATAGTCCATTGTTAAACTGTGGGACAGGCTCCCACAGGAGGCAATGATGATCACCAAACTAGATGGAGGAGAGGGCTTATTTGAAGCTAGGTCATAGAGCTGGAAAAGGCACAGAAATACATGGAAATACTGAAGTGTTTGGGGCTTTAGGTTAGATAAAAAGGCAACTAAGTTTGAGGCTTATACAATTATATATGGTGTGGAGAAAGTGGATATGTAGATAATAACCTTGCTTCTCTCATGACACTCACTCTTGAGAGCATCCAAATAAATTGATTTGCAGTAGATTCAGGACAAACTAAAGAGGGTATTTCTTCACACATCATTAATCTATGGATTTCACTGCCCTAGGTTTTGCAGATGATTGCTAGCGTACATGAATGTAAGCTATTGAAACTATTCCTATCATGGCTATCAGCCAGGATAGCTAAATGGAGCCTTCAAGTTCAGAAGCAGTATACCCCTAGATATCACTTGCTTGGGGAAACAGTAGAGGAGAACTGTTGCCTTCATGCCCTGTGGGTGGGCTTCCCAGAAGCATCTGGCTGGCCACTGTGGGAAACAGGATGGTGGAGTAGATGGAGCCTTGGTCTGATGGAGTTACATGGCTCCTCTTCTGCTTCTACATTCTTAGATAAGAATAAACCTCTTTGGTTCTTTCACATATCACATAATGATGGAAAAGCAGGATAGTTTAATATTAACATGGGTCCAGTTGCGAGGACAACAAAAGTGGATTTTGCCAGCCTTTAAAGTCATCAAGATACGCTCTGAGCTTTGAAGGACAAATACCCACTATCTGTTACACAATAGTCTAAGGAATTTACCATTCTTGCTTCATTTGAAGTCTTTTCTTTTTTTCTTTTTACAAATGTCAACTTTGTGTTGATACCTTTTTCGACATTTGAATGCCATATATTGATTTATAGCATAGAATCACAGAATTGAACGGTTGGTTGGAAGGGACCATGGGGGTCAACTAGTCCAGCCACCTGCAAATGCAAGAATCTTTTTGCCCAACGTGGGGCTCAAACCCCCCACCCTGAGATTAAATGTCTCATGCTTTACCAACTGAGCTATCCTGCAGTTTAATCTAAGATGGGAGCATCATGATTATTGTGTTTTGAATGTGAGCTGATGTTGGGGTGGGATTCCTACCCCTTTTTTCTTTTAAATTTGCTATAAAAATGAAAAGTACGGGTTCAATTTATAAACCATGTGGGAAATAAACAGGCTATACAAAGCAATTTGTCTATATTAATATTACAAAATTATAAGCTATAGCCAAGCTTAAGAAACCATGATTTTGTCTGTCCCCCCCTTGTGTTATATATGTGAAGATAGAAATGTTTTGTTTCTTTTGCATTTTTATTGGTTCATTGTGTTTTGGTAAAGTCTTAATTTTTTATTTAATGAAAAAGGCATCTTTACTTGACTTGTTTAAAGAACCTTTGTTTATGAAACATCATGTGACTACTAAGGGAAAATAAATAAAAATGAAGTTTAACAGAAATGGATGTAGATTGACATGAGGAAAATCATTTAAAATGGGTTAAAAGATTAGAGGACTAGATTTCATCTATATTTTTCAGAGTGGATCCCAAAGTCTTTGCAGCACATGATTGTCATCTTCCTGTGTGAATTCAGTGCTCTGTCGAGCCAGTCAAATAACAAAATAAAAAAAATCTCCTGACATGGTCAAAGGTGCCCTTTTTGTGATTATGATTATGATTATGCTGTGACAAATATACTTTGCTGCCTCGGAAGAAAGGTTCACAATATCCCTGGAGGGTATTTTGAAGGCTGTTCAGAACTCCAAAAGCCAAGACTTTTGGTGCATATCTGAGCTTGTTTCTTAACACAGAGGAAAAAAGATAGCTCTGCGTCATGAAGCTAGAAAGCGATATTGCTTTGGCTTAGGCAGTGTGAATCACTGCGATGCTACAACTGAAGTGGCATTTCAAGACTGGGATCTACAACAAAGCAGAGAATCTATAATATTCAGGCCCCTGAAATTCAAACCCAGTCATTGGTGTTATTTTGTACCAGGATTAGATGTGCTGGTGTTACACACACACACACACACACCCCGTATGTCAAAAATTAGGGGGCATCTTATACATCGATATATCTCCCCCCATTTTTTAAAATCTGAGTCCCCCAAAATAGGGAGCATCTTATACATGCGGGCGTCTTATAGTCGGAAAAATACAGTATATACCGTAACTCTCAAAAGAAAGGACCTTCATTATCCATAAACCATTAACAAAAATTCTGGATCCCTCTTATGCCAGCTAAAAATCCTCTCTCATTTATCTGTAGTAGAAAGGTTACATTCTGTAGCTGTGGAGCACAGAGACATATACCGTGTGGATTTCCAAAGAGGAACATCCATGTGTATGATGCATATGATAAATTTAGTACTTGTACAGTATTGAAGTTTTTGTTTGTTTGTCTTTAAAGCTAAGCACTAAAATGAACTTTGATTTCTAACCAAGACTGCCTCTAAGGCTCTGAAAGCCACAACAATCTAAAGAGTGCAATATTTCATTTTTTTATTTTTTCCTTTTAAGTAGTAATAAAATGTATAAAACAGAAAATGACAGGTAATTCAGAGAAATAGGTTGGCAACTAGTTTAGTGTGCAACAAGGGAGCTTTAGCCTTGTAATTCCAGAACAATAGCCCCTCCCACAAAGACTATTGAAAAACTACTTTTGCAGCTGAGGTGATTTTTAAAAGTAGTTTCTGTATCATAGCATGGGGACCTGCTGTTTTTGTGTACGGGGGGGCGTGTGCGGGGGGTGTTAAATTTCCTATTGGCTGCCTGCCTTTCAATACTGCTTTGGCTCATGGGTAGCTATATTCCAGTCCATACAGGGAACAGGAAGCAAAAGTCCTACGTTGTTGCTAAGCAACCATGACTAGTACTGTACAACCTATCAAGCCATTCACTCAACTTGGGCTTGCCATACGTCAGGAAAATTCCTGACATGTCCTGGTTTTTGCATGTAAAAATGTCAAAATGTCAGGGAAAACCCAAATGTATGGCAATGCGATGAAAAAAAGCAGTGGAAACAGCTCCTAAAACTTAAAATTACCATTTTGGGGGAAGGTTTCCCCAGAAAAGCTCAACATCTTTGCAGGTGTTAGTAATTTTACTGCTCACTAGCTTTGCTGAATATCACTTCTGGCCTGCCATTAAATCAGAGATTTTGCTAAGTAACCCTGGGAGTCTAGACTTGATGCATCTGATGGTCACTGGATACGAGGTCCATCAGTGGTTTATTCTATTGTTCATACAGTTTACAGTGGAATAGTTTTGCCTTTTTGCCTTCAAAAGCCATTTTAAAAATGTACTTAAGGGATAATGGCCCTGTCTGAGAGGCTATATGAGGCAATAAAATGTTTTTTTGTGGGTGATTAAACACCAAAGAGAAGCTGAGATACCAAGGCCATGAACATTATTTCTGATACAGGACAGGAATACAAAGCAATCAACAAACCAAATCATTCAAAAAGACAGACTGTATTCCTTGTTTACCTTGAAAAGGTTAAACTACTGGGTGTGTTTTCTCTGCTCTCCCGCCACCTCTAGTTTTTTCCATTGAAAAAAGAAGTCTACCTGTCTCATCATTTCAATATTTGTCCTATCCTCTGTGAAGGGGACATTGGTTTTGTTGGAACATCTTGTTACATAGTGGAATTTACCCAACATGACAGAAATTCCAATGCAAGAAATGCTCAAAAAATCAATGGACTATGAGGATCTGTATTTGTAAGATGCTGAGGGACCCCTGGGGTGTCGGAGCCAGCCGTTACAAATGGCGCAGTTTAGCATAAAATAAAGACACAGAGAGCCAGCAATATTTTCAGGATGGTATGAGCAGCTCCTTTCGAACTTCTCTCTCCTCCCGTAGCTTTTTTATTATCCTTTTTCTCTCCAGCCGCATGGCCGTTTGCCAATGTCTCACATTACCTACATCCGGTCATGGCTTTAACCCACCCACAAACCATATAAGGTCATCACTGCCCAGAGGAAACACAACTCCATTTAAGGTCAATACATTCCAATACATTGTAAGGCTCAGAGTGCTGGTCAGCCGAGGTCAGGGGGCACCCTGCAATATTACAAGCCTTTGCCGTGGCTTTATGACTCCCACACTGGGGGGCACTAAATCCATCAGATATTTACATCTTGAATGATCTTGCATTTATTCAGTTTTATTGGAAATGTCCAATCACTAATAATAGTTTATATTTTTCAATTGAGATATAGCCCAGGGAGCAAGTTCAAATGCTTAGGTGCTTATGCCACAAGGTAGAAAATTGAAATATCTTGAGCAAATGTTTCAGGATCTTTTTGAATAGCTACTCAAACTATTCTCACAAAGTTTCAAAAAGTATTAGCAATTCCCTGAATATGCAGTAATTAGATCAGCAAAGTGACAATTGCTGTGAAATTTACAATCCAAGCTGTTTCTGTTCTGAAATTTTCCAGATAAATTGAAGCTGCAATGATATCCTCCAGCAAAGTAACAGCTGGTTGAAATTGGATAACTTAAGTTCCGAGCAATGAAATTTAACCTACAATGAAACAAGCAGCTTGTTTGCATTGCTGATCCTAATAAATTCTTAAATTTATTGTTCATTGTGGAGCCACAATCTTTTTAAAGCATACTTTGTGTTTGGATTTAGACACTGTGCAGTCTGCAGTGCATATCAGGATCTATATTACTGAACATGATCATCTCTGATTAAAGCTCACAACCATTCTTAACACAGCCTATTTCAGAAGTCAGTGCCCAGTATCTATAATAACCCTATGCTGATGGACCAAATATCTATGTAAGATTACCTTAATCTGCAAATAATTTCACATTTCAAAGAGAGTCACTAGAAAATGGTGGTAAGAAGACTTTCATACAGTGCTATGTGTTCGTTAGTAATAAAGCAATAATATACTCCTGTGTCAGCTCTGTAAAACTGTTACTAAGCTGATACTTTGCATTATGAAAAACATGAAATATGTTTGTGTCTTGGTATATTAATAACACTGCAAATCCACCCCAGTTGAGGTCACTATGTATTATTCAAATCCGCTCACAAGACCCATTCGGAAAAGCAGAAGGCTTTTATGTAATAACCATGAATCAGTCATGAATATGCCACTTTCCTGCACAGCTATGCTGCAAACAGATTGGCATTTCGGATGTGAACTAAAGCTGCACATGCTCAGTCCTTCATTCACGGGCCTTCATTTCTTCTTTCCCTTAAGTTATTGCTCTGTAAAAAAATATTATCCTGTCAGGAGCTAAGCTTTAAGCACTTGGGAAACCTCTGGGATACTAAGCATCAACTTAGTGATTCAGGCTTAACTGCCATTCCCTTGAGGGCAGTGACTAGGTATACTATAACATTTTAAATTGCTTATTCTGTAAACAATAAAACAACAGCTTTATTGCACATGGTTACAATGAATTCCAAAGTGTCTTCTGTACTGTATAACACTATGAGGCTGAATACTCCCTGGGTACCTTAAAGACAGAGTCTCTATGGACCCCCTTTTCCCAATCTGTTTTTCCCCCCTTTGCAAGGATGTTTTAGAAAGAGTACACTGGGGGTTTTGAATTCTCCAATTCTGCTATTGCTTCTCAGTACTCTGAAGAGAAATGTAATGCTTCTGCCTAACTTCTAAACTGTTATCAAACCTAGTTCCTGTAGACATCTACTGGATAAAATATAAGACCTTTTTCCTATATGTGTTTGTTTATTTACAGCATTTTAATCCCATAATTCATACAAAAAAGGGTCCCAGAGCACAAATATTCTAAATAATATATTTAACACATGTAACAAAAGGAAAAGGGATTGGTATGAGGAGCTTAAAACCCCCCAATATCAACACTAATCCATAGTTTCAAAATTCAGCAGATCATGGAGCTAGATCTAAGCACAATGGAAGGGCTACTGCCTCCTCTCTGGTGCAGGGTCGGATCGAGGACTGGGGCGTGGGGGGCAAATACCCTGGGCAGCAAAATTAGGAGTCAGTTGGAGAGGAATGTGGACATGGACTGGTGCATCTTGC